TACATTGTTACTGGGTGTGTCCTAAATTGTTACTGGGTGTGTCTTACATTGTTACTGGGTGTGTCATACATTGTTACGGGGTGTGTCCTACATTGTTACTGGGTGTGCCCTACATTGTTACTGGGTGGATCCTGCATTGTTACTGAGTGTGTCCTGCATTGTTACTGGATGTGTCCTACATTGTTACTGGGTGTGTCCTACATTGTTACTGGGTGTGTCCTACATTGTTACTGGGTGTGTCCTACATTGTTGCTGGGTGTGTCCTACATTGTTACTAGGTGTGTCCTACATTGTTACTAGGTGTGTCCTACATTGTTACTGGATGTGTCCTACATTGTTACTGGGTGTGTCCTACATTGTTGTTGGTTGTGGCCTACATTGTTACTAGGTATGTCCTGCATTGTTACTTGGTGTGTCCTGCATTGTTACTGGGTGTGTCCTACATTGTTACTGGGTGTGTCCTACATTGTTACTGGGTGTGTCCTACATTGTTGCCGGGTGTGTCCTGCATTGTTACTAGGTGTGTCCTGCATTGTTACTGGATGTGTCCTACATTGTTACTGGGTGTGTCCTACATTGTTACTAGGTGTGTCCTACATTGTTACTAGGTATGTCCTGCATTGTTACTTGGTGTGTCCTGCATTGTTACTTGGTGTGTCCTACATTGTTACTGGATGTGTCCTACATTGTTACTGGGTGTGTCCTACATTGTTACTAGGTGTGTCCTGCATTGTTACTGGGTGTGTCCTACATTGTTACTGGGTGTGTCTTACATTGTTACTGGGTGTGTCCTACATTGTTACTGGGTGTGTCCTACATTGTTACTGGGTGTGTCCTGCATTGTTACTGGGTGTGTCCTACATCGTTACTGGGTGTGTCCTGCATTGTTACTGGGTGTGTCCTACATTGTTACTGGGTGTGTCATACATTGTTACTGGGTGTGTCCTACATTGTTACTAGGTGTGTCCTGCATTGTTACTTGGTGTGTCCTACATTGTTACTGGGTGTGTCTTACATTGTTACTGGGTGTGTCCTACATTATTTGTTGGTTGTGTCCTACATTGTTACTGGGTGTGTCCTACATTGTTACTGGGTGTGTCCTACATTGTTACTAGGTGTGTCCTACGTTGTTACTGGGTGTGTCCTACATTGTTACTGGGTGTGTCCTGCATTGTTACTGGGTGTGTCCTACAACGTTACTGCGTGTGTCCTGCATTGTTACTGGGTGTGTCCTACATTGTTACTGAGTGTGTCCTACATTGTTACTGGCTGTGTCCTACATTGTTACTTGATGTGTCCTACATCGTTACTGGGTGTGTCCTGCATTGTTACTGGCTGTGTCCTACATTGTTACTAGGTGTGTCCTACATTGTTACTAGGTGTGTCCTACATTGTTACTGGATCTGTCCTACATTGTTACTGGGTGTGTCCTACATTGTTACTGGGTGTGTCCTACATTGTTGTTGGTTGTGTCCTACATTGTTACTAGGTATGTCCTGCATTGTTACTTGGTGTGTCCTGCATTGTTACTGGGTGTGTCCTACATTGTTACTGGATCTGTCCTACATTGTTACTGGGTGTGTCCTACATTGTTGTTGGTTGTGTCCTACATTGTTACTAGGTATGTCCTGCATTGTTACTTGGTGTGTCCTGCATTGTTACTGGGTGTGTCCTACATTGTTACTGGATCTGTCCTACATTGTTACTGGGTGTGTCCTACATTGTTGTTGGTTGTGTCCTACATTGTTACTAGGTTTGTCCTGCATTGTTACTTGGTGTGTCCTGCATTGTTACTGGGTGTGTCCTACATTGTTACAGGGTGTGTCCTACATTGTTACTGGGTGTGTCCTACATTGTTGCCGGGTGTGTCATACATTGTTACTAGGTGTGTCCTGCATTGTTACTTGGTGTGTCCTGCATTGTTACTGGGTGTGTCCTACATTGTTACTGGGTGTGTCTTACATTGTTACTGGGTGTGTCCTACATTGTTACTGGGTGTGTCCTACATTGTTACTGGGTGTGTCCTGCATTGTTACTTGGTGTGTCCTACATCGTTACTGGGTGTGTCCTGCATTGTTACTGGGTGTGTCCTACATTGTTACTGGGTGTGTCCTGCATTGTTACTGGGTGTGTCCTACATTGTTACTGGGTGTGTCCTGCATTGTTACTGGGTGTGTCCTACATTGTTACTGGGTATGTCCTGCATTGTTACAGGGTGTGTCCTGCATTGTTACAGGGTGTGTCCTGCATTGTTACTGGGTGTGTCCTACATTGTTACTGGGTGTGTCCTACATTGTTACTGGGTGTGTCCTGCATTGTTACTGGGTGTGTCCTACATTGTTACTGGGTATGTCCTGCATTGTTACTGGGTGTGTCCTACATTGTTACCGGGTGTGTCCTACATTGTTACTGGATGTGTCCTACATTGTTACTGGGTGTGTCCTACATTGTTACTGGGTATGTCCTGCATTGTTACAGGGTGTGTCCTGCATTGTTACAGGGTGTGTCCTGCATTGTTACTGGGTGTGTCCTACATTGTTACTGGGTGTGTCCTACATTGTTACTGGGTGTGTCCTACATTGTTACTAGGTGTGTCCTGCATTGTTACTGGGTGTGTCCTACATTGTTACTGGATGTGTCCTACATTGTTACTGGGTGTGTCCTACATTGTTACTAGGTGTGTCCTGCATTGTTACTGGGTGTGTCCTACATTGTTACTGGGTGTGTCTTACATTGTTACTGGGTGTGTCCTACATTGTTACTGGGTGTGTCCTACATTGTTACTGGGTGTGTCCTGCATTGTTACTGGGTGTGTCCTACATCGTTACTGGGTGTGTCCTGCATTGTTACTGGGTGTGTCCTACATTGTTACTGGGTGTGTCATACATTGTTACTGGGTGTGTCCTACATTGTTACTAGGTGTGTCCTGCATTGTTACTTGGTGTGTCCTACATTGTTACTGGGTGTGTCTTACATTGTTACTGGGTGTGTCCTACATTATTTGTTGGTTGTGTCCTACATTGTTACTGGGTGTGTCCTACATTGTTACTGGGTGTGTCCTACATTGTTACTAGGTGTGTCCTACGTTGTTACTGGGTGTGTCCTACATTGTTACTGGGTGTGTCCTGCATTGTTACTGGGTGTGTCCTACAACGTTACTGCGTGTGTCCTGCATTGTTACTGGGTGTGTCCTACATTGTTACTGAGTGTGTCCTACATTGTTACTGGCTGTGTCCTACATTGTTACTTGATGTGTCCTACATCGTTACTGGGTGTGTCCTGCATTGTTACTGGCTGTGTCCTACATTGTTACTAGGTGTGTCCTACATTGTTACTAGGTGTGTCCTACATTGTTACTGGATCTGTCCTACATTGTTACTGGGTGTGTCCTACATTGTTACTGGGTGTGTCCTACATTGTTGTTGGTTGTGTCCTACATTGTTACTAGGTATGTCCTGCATTGTTACTTGGTGTGTCCTGCATTGTTACTGGGTGTGTCCTACATTGTTACTGGATCTGTCCTACATTGTAACTGGGTGTGTCCTACATTGTTGTTGGTTGTGTCCTACATTGTTACTAGGTATGTCCTGCATTGTTACTTGGTGTGTCCTGCATTGTTACTGGGTGTGTCCTACATTGTTACTGGATCTGTCCTACATTGTTACTGGGTGTGTCCTACATTGTTGTTGGTTGTGTCCTACATTGTTACTAGGTTTGTCCTGCATTGTTACTTGGTGTGTCCTGCATTGTTACTGGGTGTGTCCTACATTGTTACAGGGTGTGTCCTACATTGTTACTGGGTGTGTCCTACATTGTTGCCGGGTGTGTCATACATTGTTACTAGGTGTGTCCTGCATTGTTACTTGGTGTGTCCTGCATTGTTACTGGGTGTGTCCTACATTGTTACTGGGTGTGTCTTACATTGTTACTGGGTGTGTCCTACATTGTTACTGGGTGTGTCCTACATTGTTACTGGGTGTGTCCTGCATTGTTACTTGGTGTGTCCTACATCGTTACTGGGTGTGTCCTGCATTGTTACTGGGTGTGTCCTACATTGTTACTGGGTGTGTCCTGCATTGTTACTGGGTGTGTCCTACATTGTTACTGGGTGTGTCCTGCATTGTTACTGGGTGTGTCCTACATTGTTACTGGGTATGTCCTGCATTGTTACAGGGTGTGTCCTGCATTGTTACAGGGTGTGTCCTGCATTGTTACTGGGTGTGTCCTACATTGTTACTGGGTGTGTCCTACATTGTTACTGGGTGTGTCCTGCATTGTTACTGGGTGTGTCCTACATTGTTACTGGGTATGTCCTGCATTGTTACTGGGTGTGTCCTACATTGTTACCGGGTGTGTCCTACATTGTTACTGGATGTGTCCTACATTGTTACTGGGTGTGTCCTACATTGTTACTGGGTATGTCCTGCATTGTTACAGGGTGTGTCCTGCATTGTTACAGGGTGTGTCCTGCATTGTTACTGGGTGTGTCCTACATTGTTACTGGGTGTGTCCTACATTGTTACAGGGTATGTCCTACACCCACCCACACACACACACACACACACACACGGATAGAGAGACACACACACACTCACACAGACAGACACACACACACACACACACACACATACTGAAATGAAAAAAGATTGGCTTCATCCCCTTCTGTAGACGACGTATTCCCGCTCTTATCACAAGTACTGCATCAATGCTAGTGTAGAGGGCTTACGTGTTACTGTGGATATTGCAACTAAACAATACTAAGAGCGTGTCAGAGTGTCAACATCGAAATCAAGTAGGACCTCACGGGCATGGAGGAATTGCATGGTCCACGTGCAAAGTGTTTGGTGGGTTCGGGAGTTAGGTTTTGGTTCCGAAACCCTTCTCTCTGGCAGTCATTGTTCACATCAGATCTTTCTTCTGACGGCGATCATAACATTTAGATTTCAAGAAGCCCTACTTTGTCAGGATAGTATATAATATAACAGTAAAAAAGCAGTATGCAAAGGCTAAGTCGTTTTATTTTGCCAGGTGATCATCAACTTTCAAATATACTGATTCGCCAGCAACAATGATTCTTCTAAGGAATCCCTAACAATGTCGGACATTCTTTAAACTGCGACTCTGTTGACCGCCCGTGTACAGTTCTGCGCCACCTGGTGGCCGTATTGAACAGGGGCTTGACACCACTTGGTGGCCGTATTGAACAGGGGCTTGACACCACCTGGTGGCCGTATTGAACAGGGGCTTGACACCACCTGATGGCCGTATCGAACAGGGGCTTGACACCACCTGATGGCCGTATCGAACGGGGGCTTGACACCACCTGGTGGCCGTATTGAACAGGGGCTTGACACCACCTGGTCGCCGTATTGACCAGGGGCTTGACACCACCTGGTGGCCGTATTGAACAGGGGCTTGACACCACCTGGTGGCCGTATTGAACAGGGGCTTGACACCACCTGGTGGCCGTATTGAACAGGGGCTTGACACCACCTGATGGCCGTATCGAACAGGGGCTTGACACCACCTGATGGCCGTATCGAACAGGGGCTTGACACCACCTGATGGCCGTATCGAACAGGGGCTTGACACCACCTGATGGCCGTATCGAACAGGGGCTTGACACCACCTGATGGCCGTATCGAACAGGGGCTTGATACCATCTGAAGGCCGTATTGAACAGATGCTTGACACCACCTAATGGCTGTATTGAACAGGGGCTTGACACCACCTGATGGCCGTATCGAATAGGGGCTTCACGCCATCTTAGTTTTAACCTGTTTTTCAATCGCCTTTTGACAAATAAAGAGAAGTGCGAGGCCGACCCGTCACTGCGTGTATGCTGCCAAGATGACATTACATGTTTTGCGGGGAGGCCTAGACCTGGGTTAACTGGCAACTTCAGTCATATCAAGTAAATCCACGTTATCACTGCGTGTATGCTGCCAAGATGACATTAAATGTTTTACGGGGAGGCCTAGACCTGGGTTAACTGGCAACGTCAGTCATATCAAGTAAATCTACGTTATCCCTGCTTTTAATACTGGTAGGATGACATTACATGTTTTGCGGGGAGGCCTAGACCTGGGTTAACTGGCAACGTCAGTCATATCAAGTAAATCCACGTTATCCGTAAAATGTAAACACTTTAATATATCAAGCAATAAGCGCACACCTCAATTACACTTGGCATTAGTTACAACATGTAGTTCTAGACAAAATATCAACACCAGCCAAATTGTCTGGCACCAACAGTTTCGATATGTCGTCCTCCTCTAGCTCTTCCGACGTAACATGAGAGAAGTACTTTTACAATCGCATTAAAGCAACTTAGTCAATGTTTACTGGACATTTAGAACCTCAGGGAATGATCAGTCTCAGTAATAAGCCGACACAAATTCCGCAGGGTGCAAACGACAAAATAGTGATGAAAAATACATGAATGGATCACCGAAAACAGTGCTGACACCAGGTGTTCGTGCCAAGAGTAGGCAGGTCGTGCCAAGAGTAGGCAGGTCGTGACAAGAGTAGGCAGGTCGTGACAAGAGTAGGCAGGTCGTGACAAGAGTAGGCAGGTCCTGCTAACTGGAAGCACCTGCCACTTACATCATTTCAATTAAAAAGTAATTGTCTGTCTGTTGCCTGACGCCGTACCCAGCAACACCATTAATCTCATCCAGCAAGGAACACGCACCATCAACTGCGCATGCGTGTGAGGACCACGTGGCTTAAAGTGAGTTTATGTACAGTAGAGTGTGACGTCATGGCATGTATACACAATATGTACAGTGTCTATGTACAAGACTCGGGCACAGGTCTGTCGTTCACTCCAGCCTCATTCTGACAGCGATATCTTCCTCCCGGAAGCAGCTGACGTGGCAGCGACATCTATCGTGGTGTACTGTGTAGATGGAGCTGCTCTCCGGACATCAGCATCCGGGTTCTGCTGCTGCACCTCCACCTCGATGTAGTTGAGAGTCTTTGTCTGAAACAGCAACAGACTCAAACAACAACAGACCCAAACAACAATAGACACAAACAACAATAGACTCAAACAACAACAGACTCAAACAACAATAAACTCAAACAACAACAGACGGAAACAACAATAGACTCAAACAACAACAGACTCAAACAACAATAGACTCCAACAACAACAGACTCAAACAACAATAGACTCAAACAACAACAGACTCAAACAACAATAAACTCAAACAACAACAGACGGAAACAACAATAGACTCAAACAGCAACAGACTCCAACAACAACAGACTCAAACAACAACAGACTCCAACAACAATAGACGCAAACAACAACAGATTCAAACAACAATAGACGCAAACAACAACAGACTCAAACAACAATAGACTCAAACAACCACAGACGGAAACAACAATAGACTCAAACAGCAACAGACTCCAACAACAACAGAGGGAAACAACAATAGACTCAAACAACAATAGACTCAAACAACAACAGACGGAAACAACAATAGACTCAAACAGCAACAGACTCAAACAACAATAGACTCAAACAACAACAGACGGAAACAACAATAGACTCAAACAGCAACAGACTCGAACAACAACAGACTCAAACCACAACATACTCAAACAACAATAGACACAAACAATAATAGACACAAACAACAATAGACACAAACAACAGATTCAGGCCTGAAACTTGGTGAGATGGTTGGGTTGGGTTATAACATATTTGTTGATGACATTTTGATCAGAATTCAAATATGGCTGCCAGTGGCCATATTGGAAAAAAAAAGAAGTGCAAACTATGCATAGAGCCACTGCTGTGGGATTGGCTGTGCTTACGAGAACTATCGGCCTACCTTGGGAGCCGCCTACCTCTGGCTTTGCTGAAATCTCTGACACCATAGTTGGACCGGAAGCGTCGTCATCAATCTCGATCTCGTCATACTCTCGCGGCCGCCTCTTTGGTGGTGTTTGGTTGGGCTTGAGATCTTCCTCTTTCACCTCGTCGTACGGGTGAGTCCGCGGCGTCTTAGCTACAACACACAACAGGCCAGGTAAAAATCACAGGTAACAATTACAGGTAAAGTGAGATGCGAGTCGAGTTCCTTTGTTGTTAAACGCCGCACTAAGATGATCCAAGTTCCGACCTCTGATGCGCACGTACAATCTCTGTAAGGTGATCACTGTGCACACAGGTCGGTGCACATCGCTTTGAGGTAAATGTTCTACTCAGAACGAGTTAAAGTATATCCACAACTGAAAGGCCGGATGTTGCACTATCAACAAGCTGTGGGAGAGAGCTCAGCTATTCTCATATGGTAAACTCTAGAGTTCTTTAACTTCTTGCGAGTTGTGTATATTGTACAGTAAACTACGGTTATAACGAACACGCTTATAATGAACTGGCGGATATAGCGAACTTACTTTTTAGTCCAGACTATTTGCTGTAGTTATGCTGTTTTTATGCTTATAACGAACTACGGTTATAACGAATTAAAAATAGTAGTCCCTTTGAGTTCGTTATAACCGAAGCTTACTGTTATGTCAATGTTAGCAAGAGGATTCGGCACAGTTGTGTCACACTGATAGAGTGAGCGAGTATTGTTTTACGCCGCTTTTAGCAATATACCAGCAATATAACGACGGGGGATACCAGAAATGAGCTTCACACATTGTACCCATGTCGGGAATCGAACCCGGGCCTTCGAGCGAACGCTTCGAGCGAACGAGCTTGTGACGAGCGAACGCTTCAGCCACCAGGCTATAGCCCCACCACATTGAGTGAGTGAGTGTGGTTCTACGCCGCTTTTAGCAATACTCCAGCAAATATCAAGGCGGGTGAACCCAGAAATGAGCCCAGCCAGATTTATAGAAACTTGTACAAATAACACTCAATGCACAGTATGAGACCCGTGACGATCCGGGGTAGAAAAGGTCTTCAGCAACCCATGCTTGCCGTAAAAGGTGACTATGCTTGTTGTAGGAGGCGACTAACGCGATCGGCTGGTCAGGCTCGCTGACTTGGTTCATGCATGTCATCGTATCCTAATTACGTGGATCGATGCTCATGATACCAATCACTGGATTGCCAGGTCCAGACTCGATTATTTACAGACCGCCGTCATATAGCTGGAATATTGCTGGGTGCGGCGTTAAACACCAACAACAATAAATAAACAAACAAAACACAGTATGACCACTTTAGAAGAAGAAGAAGAAGAAGAAGAAGTATTATCTTTATGATAAGCATGGAAGTTGTGAGAATAATCTGTTAGATTTCATGTCCCGTTATTTATCAAGCCTGGAAGTTGGCCTCGGGAGACACGTGAAACTGAATCTAGGCAGTTGCGGAAGTTGCGGAAGTTCACGTGCCGTATTCCTGCCTGCATGTGAACGATGTATCCATGATTGCTATTACAAAACACAAGTATAGTAAACTACGGTTATAACGAACACGCTTATAACGAATTGACGGATATAACGAACTTACTTTTTGGTCCCGACTACTTGCTGTAGTTATGCTGTATATGTGCATATAACGAACTACGGTTATAACGAACTAAAAGTAGAAGTCCCTTTGAGTTCGTTATATCCGTATTTCGACAAGAAGAACAAACAACGGCTTGTCTCTCCCTGCAGGGGTTTGAGAGAGTTTTAAATACGACCGTTTATCTCTTGGTGCCATTACGCTAAGCATGTTAAATACATATAACATATGTCAACCTCTTTAAAGGGATCTACATTCACTAGATATTCTGTATATTTATTTCATTTTATCCACTGACATTATTAATAGATTTTATCCATCTTAGTTTGATTGCTGGGGGACTTGATTCCTTGTTCGTGTATTTTTTATCTATATCTGATCACATTATTGTCCTAGCGTTCCGGATATTTCAATAACAGTTGTTCTATAATTATTCCTCATATGGTCAGGACGAAATTCAGGAAGTTGTTTATAAGATCTCCTATTTTATATGATATAAATATTTTCTGTTATTTTGTTTTTATTTCCACTGATTTGAAACATTCCCCACGTTTATACTTTTCTCAGTAAATGTAGTAAATAATGTTTGAAGTAATATTTAAACGTCCATTGTACCCCCTGAATACACGTATCGCCCAATCTGGGTTTATAGTACATTCCTGGTGTCCCCTGCCGTGGCATTGCTGGAATATTGATAAAAGCGGCGTAAAACCATACTCACTCACTCACTCACTCACTGGGTATATAGTATGACACATTTTCATCTTCAGTAAAACGAGAGACGGGAGTGCACGTGCACCGTGACGATCTGAGAGAGATCAGGAAACAATGTCACGAGACGTGAACATACCATAGAAAATGAACCGGAAGTGACAACTTCGGAAAAGAAACGCAAGAGGCCGGATGCAAATGGAGGGGTGGGATCGTCCGGGAATATCTCTGTTAACGTTGAAACGGAGAAAACCACCCCGGCCCCTATCCCTGCTGCACCACGCCCGGTACAGAAGGCCAGGCCGCCCAAAGTGAAGAAGGCTCCACCAGTCGCCGCCATGGAGATCCAGGAGAGCCTACCCATCCACCCTCCGCCCCCAACAGCAGCATTGGAACTCGCTCCCCTCGAATCCAGAGGGGAGGAGCCCTTTCGCACGCCTGTAGGGACAGGACACGGAAGGAAGAAGAGAAAGAGGAAAAGTATCTTCTCCCCTGCCCCCCCCCCCCCCCCCCCCCCCTCCCATCACCACCTACAAGCAAGACAACGGAAACCCAGACCGCACAAGGTCCACCCTAACCCCGGCTTCTAGCATGAGAGCGGCAAGGTCTACCCAAGCAACTGCCCACGCCCACCCATGGTGTTGGTGCAGTACTGGGGAGAAGAAAGGTTTAAACATGAAATCCACATCTACCAGGATCTCTCGGATTTCCTGGTCGACTGCGATCTTCAAGTCAGCCCCCTCCTCATCACCCACGCCTGACCCCCCACCCCCACCCCCCACCACCTAAGCCAAGCTTTTCCATATTATTAATATTTTTTTTACCCCCCCCCCCCCCCTCTCCCCCCCAGCCAAACCCCCCCCCCCCCTAGATTATCATTTTAGGTTTACATAATTTCCATTTTTTGGGGTCGCACTTCTTATTTATTCATTACGCTTTTTTTCCCCCTATTTAGTATAAGTGCTTCCCCGTGTGCGAGATACGCTAAATGTAATTTATTACATGCGGAAAGTGCACGTTAAATCCCCGAATGAACGAACGAATGTAGTTGCTGTAGTTGTTGCAGTTGTTGTTGTCAGGTAGCGGTCTTCCTGATCCAGATACATAACTACTGACGAACTGACGGAGAGACAGTCATTTGACACACGTACTGACGGAGAGACACACACATTTGACACACATACTTACGGAGAGACAGATACATTTGACATACGTACTGACGGAGAGACAGATACATTTGACACACGTACTGACGGAGAGACAGATACATTTGACACACGTACTGACGGAGAGACAGATACATTTGACACACGTACTGACGGAGAGACAGATACATTTGACACGCATACTGACGGAGAGACAGATACATTTGACACACGTACTGACGGAGAGACAGATACATTTGACACACGTACTGACGGAGAGACAGATACATTTGACAAACATACTGACGGAGAGACAGATACTCACTGATGGAAAGACAGGCAGACTCGACACACGTACTGACAGAGAGACAGACATTTGACACACGTACTGACGGAGAGACACACACATTTGACACACATACTTACGGAGAGACAGATACATTTGACATCCGTACTGACGGAGAGACAGATACATTTGACATACGTACTGACGGAGAGACAGATACATTTGACATACGTACTGACGGAGAGACAGTCATTTGACACACGTACTGACGGAGAGACAGATACATTTGACACACATACTTACGGAGAGACAGATACATTTGACATACGTACTGACGGAGAGACAGATACATTTGACACACGTACTGACGGAGAGACAGATACATTTGACAAACATACTGACGGAGAGACAGATACATTTGACATACTCACTGATGGAAAGACAGGCAGACTCGACACACGTACTGACAGAGAGACAGACATTTGACACACGTACTGACAGAGAGACAGACATTTGACACAAGTACTGACGGAGAGACAGACATTTGACAGACGTACTGACGGAGAGACAGACATTTGACACACGTACTGACGGAGAGACAGACAGATTCCACACAGGTACTGACGGAGAGACAGGCAGATTCGACACACGTACTGACGGAGAAACAGACACATTTGACAGACGTACTGACGGAGAGACAGACATTTGACACACGTACTGACGGAGAGACACACACATTTGACACACGTACTGACGGAGAGACAGACACATTTGACACACGTACTTACGGGGGCACAGACACATTTGACACGCGTACTGACGGAGAGACAGACATTTGACACACGTACTGACGGAGAGACACACACATTTGACACACGTACTGACGGAGAGACAGACACATTTGACACACGTACTGACGGAGAGACACACACATTTGACACACGTACTGACGGAGAGACACACACATTTGACACAAGTACTGACGGAGAGACACACACATTTGACATACGTACTGACGGAGAGACACACACATTTGACACACGTACTGACGGAGAGACACACACATTTGACACACGTACTGACGGAGAGACACACACATTTGACACAAGTACTGACGGAGAGACACACACATTTGACACACGTGCTGACGGGGGGACAGACACGTTTGACACACGAACTGACGGAGAGACAGACACATTTGACACACGTACTGACGGAGAGACACACACATTTGACATACGTACTGACGGAGAAACAGATACATTTGACACACGTACTGACGGAGAGACACACACATTTGACATACGTACTGACGGAGAGACACACCCATTTGACACGCGTACTGACGGAGAGACAGATACATTTGACACGCGTACTGACGGAGAGACAGACACATTTGACACA